TGTTTGTTTGTTTGGTTGGTTGGTTTCTCTGTGTAGCTTTGTGTCTGTTTTCCTGGAAGTTGCTCTGTAGACTACGCTGACCTTGAACTCAGAGACTACCCCCATACTTGCATACAGTGTTTTTTCCCCAGGACACCAACCCAGCTGTTCCTACATTTAAAGGGCAACTTTGAGTCCCCTTAGTACTAAAGTGACTCCTAAGACTTACTCAGAATGAATTTAAGGAAAATTATGCAGATCCTTTCACAGAGAAACCACAGTAGAGTGGAGTCTGAGGGTCACAGCCGGCTAGCTGAGTGAAGGGGCATAATTTGGGTGGTTCTCTATTTTGATTGACAGGTTAAGTTATATATTCATTTATTTGTTATACATGGACGAAGCACACAACTAACTGTACTTGGACTTAAGGTGTTAAATAAGGTCATTTCCTCTCAAAGTTCACTTTGAGGACACAAGCTGCCATTGTGCACATGAAGTCAAAATGAGCTCAGGGCAATTGACCTCCCCACTTTTGTGCCTGGACATAACTAGAGTATGGGACATGTGTGCCTGTAATCCCTGCAGGTAGGTCTACAGAGTGAGTTTCAGGCCGGCCTGTCTCAGCAACAAAACACCTTGAGTATGACAGCACAGAATCTAAGTTTGATGGTCATAAGGTGAAATCCATTGTTGGAAGGGTCCTAGTTTGCTAACAGGTTGCTAGGTACATTGTTCAGAGGTATGTGTACATTCTACATACAGGTAAATCTTCCAGGCTGTCATGTGTTTTTGTTTTGTTTTGCTTGTTTGTTTTTTTCAAGGCAGGGTGTCTCTGTAACAATCCTAGCTGTCTTGCAACTAGCTCTGTAGACCAGGCTGGGCCTCAAACTTAGAGATCAGCCTGACTGCCCCCTGAGTGCTGGGATTAAAGGCAGCCACCACCCAGCAGACCAAAGGTATGCACAGTTCAAACCACATGGAGCCCCTGGATGCTTGCTGTGATGATTTGAATAGCTATGGCCCCCACAGACTCGTGTGTTTGAATGCTTAACCTATAGGGAGTGGCACTATTTGGAGTTGTGGCATTGTTGCAGTAGAGATGGCCTTGTTTCAGGAAGCGTCACTATGGGGGTGGGCTTTTAAGTCTATGCTCAAGCTACACCCACTAAGAGAGAGTTCACTTCCTATTGCCTGTGGATCAAGATGTAGAACTCTCAGGTACCTCTCCAGCACCACCTTGTTTCTGCCATGTTGATGATGGACTAAACTCTGAACTGTAAGCCAGCCGCAATTAAATGTTTTCCTTCATAAAAGTTGCCAGGGTCATGGTGTCTCTTCACAGCAACACAACCTTAAAGACACTTGCTGACTCAATAACACTGGCTAAGGTAGTGGAGACAATACATGAGAGCCTAGTACAGGAGGTTGGGTGGCAGTTTTTGTGTACTCCAAAGTTGCTTCTACCTTTCTGCCCAGCTGCCTGTCCAGCAGGAAGGGCAAGCAGAGAAGGAGAAAGTGTCCTGGGCCCCTCTGCGATAAACTGCATATACCACTTTCTAACACAGAAGCCAACAATGATGGCTCCTGGTGCTAACCTGAATGCTGTACCAGGGACACCCTTGGGGTGATCAGATTTGTTACCTGTGCTCAGAAAGAACAGAACTGAAATAGATTAACCTCAAAATTAAATGGGGCCGTTTTTCTAAATTTGCTGGCCAGCAGTTGTGCCAACGCCAGAGTGGAACCATCAGCATCACTCAAGGATTCTTCACAAGACCTCTGTATCTTCAAGGACTATGACCCCCAGGCCAGGTTCATGCACACAGAACATATGGATTCCTACCCTATCCAGAAGAACCAGTACACACCCCCCCCCCCCAACACACACACAGCTTGTCTGGTTTCTATAGGTCAGCATTCAGTTGCCCCAAGCCTGAATCTGCTCAGCCCAACCACACACTCAAACTCCATCCCCTCCAGAGACCCCAGTGAGCTCTCTGGTCTAGGGGAGAGCGTTACTGACTCTAGCTGGTTCCTGCCTCCCCCGGGCCCACAGACCTGCAGTGGCTCAGGCCTTGTGAGTTAAAGCAGCAAATGTGCCCATAAATTCCTACTCAGGTCCTAGAAAATAACCACACATGACCTAACAGAAGGGGGTAGTAACCATTACTGTCAATGTTAATAGTCTATAGGTGGTACCTGGTTTGCAGCAGACACTGAGAACAAGACATCAAAAGCTCCCTTTTGGGGTTAGGGAAATGGGAAGTAGAGAAGGGTGAAGATTCAAGTCCAAACCCCCGGAACCCACACAAAGCATTTGTCTCAGGTCCCAGGACTTCTGTGGGAAATTTAGAGGAATCCATAGAAGCCACTAAACAAATAGATAAAAAGAAATTGTCTTAAACAATGTGGAAGGTGAGGGTTAACATACAAGGCTCTCGCTCCCCTGACCTCCACACACATGGCACATGCACTCACACACCTCAGATTAAAAAGCAAGCTTTGAAGCCAGACACAGTGGCACTTTGGTCCCAGCATTCATGAGGCAGAGGCACATATATCTCTCTGAATGCCAGCCTGGTCTACAGAGTGAGTTCCAGGACAGCCAGGGCTACAGGGGCAGGGGAGCTTGTTCAGAGGTTAAGAACACTTGCTGCTCCTGTAGAGGGACCCAGAGTGGTAGCCTGGGTGACACTGGACCCTAAACCAGGAGCAGTCAGCTCTCTTGCGGGCCAGCCTGGTCAGTGTCAACATAGAAAGGGTTCTTTATCACAAGCAGAGTCCAACCCAGGAGGCAAGGCTGCCTCTTTCATCCTGGCCCCTTCCTGTTACAGATGACTGTGGCCAGGTGCAGACTCTATGGGTGCTGACACTGTAAATGGAAACTAGCCTGTCCTGAAGACTTGAGCCACTCTCACCACTAAGTAATTCCCTTAGGGGTGCAGGAGCCAGAGCTGTCAAAAGCCTCTCCTACTAACAGCTCTGGGAAAGAGACGTTTCCAACTCAGAACATGGGGCTTGAGCACAGCTCAGGAGTACAGGGTTGGATCGGCACCCATGACACCACTCGGTGCAGTCATCTCCAGCACTGCATAAGAAAACTGTAAAAGGACCTCATTGAAAGCAGCTAAGACCAGGGTCTCTGAGCGGTGGAAACGCTTTTAAGCCATGCAAGAGATGGTTGAGCTGGTCATCAAAATTTAATTTTCAGGGCTAGAGTGGTGGCTCAGAGATTAAGAGCACTGGCTGGGGGTTCGAGAGGGAACTGTGGTTGGAATGTAAAATGAAATCAAATGTATAAAAAAATGGAGAAAAAAAACTTTCAGGTATCTTTTTAAATAGACAATCTAATTTGTCTAGCTGGTGTGGTTTTGAACATGAAACAAACATAATTTACTTTCAGTTACAAATTAAACTTGTTTTGAATTCTCCATTAAAAAAAAAAAAGCACTGGCTACTCTTCCAGAAGTCCTGAGTTTAATTCCCAGCAACCATATGGCGGCTCATAACTACCTGTAATGGGATTCAATCCCTTCTTCTGGAGTTTATATACACAACAGAGCACTCATATACATAAAATACATAAATCTTTAAATTTTTTTCTTACAAAACAGACATTGGGGGTAATCATTAAATCCCAATAATGGGGATCAAGAGGCAAGAGAATCTGAGAGTTCTAAGACAGAGATAGATACATGGTGAGACAGTATCCCAAGAAGAGGGGGGTGGGAGGGAAGAGAGAGGGAGAAATACTCCCATGGTAATTTAAAATAAACCAGGTATAGGAGCTAAGATAGTTCATCCAGCAGTGCTTAACTATCGTCCACAAAGGCTCTACACACATACCATGGCACTCTCAGAGGCAGGAAAACACACAGAAGAAATTTAGACTTCAATTTTTAAAAATGATTTCCTATTTTATCTGCAATGGTGTTTTCCCTGCATGTATCTCCGTGAGGGTGGTAGTGTATGTCCCCCACCTCAGTCACCCTCACCAGCCATGAAATCTGCCAAGGTCCCACACACAAGGTTCCTCGTGCTTTATCCTAACAGGTAGACCCCATAGAACTGGAATTATAGTTTTTAGCTGCCATTTGGGTGCTGGGAATTGAACCTGGGTCCTCGGAAGTGCAGCCAGTGCTCTTAGCAATCTCTTCAGCCCCATAATTAAAAAAAAAAAAAAAAAAAAAAAAAAAAGTTTCTGCGTAGACCAGACTGACCTCAAACTCAGAGATCTGCCTGCCTCGGCCTCCTGAGCGCTGGGACTAAGGCAGCACACCCAGCAAGCAGGAACTAGACTTTCATCACCAAGACAGGGAGGAGCTAAGGCTACCCCAGTGATGGGCCTTGTCTTAGCTGCTTTCAAGCAGGACCAGGACCACAGCATTAGTCTTCAGGAATTTGAGCTAGAGAGGATGCTCACTGGCTGCTCTTGCAGAGGACCCACTGCTGATTTCCCAACATCCACATGGCAGTCCACAACCATCCACTAACTCCAGTTCTGAGGGATCTGAGGACACCAATCACACATGTAAGCAGATATACACATAAAAAATAAATTTAGCTGGATGTGGGGGCAGATGCCTTTAATCTGTCTTAAGGAGCAAGAGTCAGGCTTAATGTTCATGAATCTATTTTTTCAGTCATCCCATCTTGCAAGTGCACACAGGGGAATTTGAACCTAATGTCCCAGCACATGCTAGGAAAATGCAAGGCCAAAACCCCAGCCCTTAGGAATAAACTTTGATAGAATCTGTAAGTTAAGCCTACCAGCACTAGCTCTGGAGATCATCCACTGTGAGGGCTCTCATCGTGCCTCAGCTCGCTCTTAGTCACCACTGTGCTCCTGGGCACTGGCCACACCTCATCCCAGCCTCTCCACCATGTCTGCTTTCTGGACAGCCTCAATTAATGCGGGCCAATGTTGTTCTGACCATCCAGGCCATCAGTTTGCCCCAGACCTTGCTCTCTGAAGACTTGTCACTTTGCTGAAGGGTACAGCCACAAGACAGATACCACAGTTTTCAATCAAGCTTTTAATGAAAAGATCATAAAATAACAGTTTCTCATCACTGTACATTAAGACTGCACGCTTTTGAATGGAGAGATCAGTCATGGATAAATCACTCTTGACATTGGAGAGCTGCACAGCTGCAGCTCTGACCTGAACGCATCCACCCAGACTCTAGGGAAGTAAAGTCAATGTGATGAGTGGCAACAGTGGTGACCAGTACAGTACAGGAGTGCGATCCCAGCACCCCTCCCCTGCTCCGGGAAGGGCACAGAGGATGTGATCCCTCTTCCAGTTCCAATCAAATGAAACAGATATACCCCATCCCTCCTGAGGTATTTGCAAATGGGATGGATGGAGCCCAACCTGGGGCTCCTGGAGGAAATGAGTGATGGGTTAGGTACAGGGAGGTCCCTTTAAGCACCTGGCCCCACGGGGCCCCACCAAGTGGAGGGGAGGACCCTGGGAACTCTCCCTGACCCAAGTGAGGTCTGTTATGCAGCATTTTTGAGGTCAATAAATTACAGCAATAAATAGCAAGGTGAGGTAGGGGAGGGGTCCCTGGTAGAGAGTTAAAGTAAGGTGACTGAAGCTGCAGGCATCCTAGGAAGGGGGCCCTGGGCAGCAAGTTTCCACAGCTTCCACCCTTCCTGGGTTGGAATGTCAGACTGAGGTCGGGTCCCTCTCTATCCCTCATTCCTGGCATCCATTTCATAGGTTCAGTAACATTGGCCCCATAGTGACTGGGGAAAGGAAGACCTTGGTCCCTTTAGTGGGGCACAGCAAGGCTTGAGAGCCTGTCCTTTCTTTTCAGGCCCGGCCCCTTGGCTTCTGCCTCTGTTCCTAGCACTTGCTCCCTGAGGTCTGCCCTCCTGGCTGCCCAGGATTCCCCCAACCCAGGAAGGCAGCAGTGTGCCTGCTGACAGCTCGGCAGATCGCACTCCTGCACAAGGACCTGAGGTCCAGTGAATACTGACAGTGTGGGCAGCAGGTGGGGACCTGGCTCCCCTCAGCGTTAATGGACGGAAACACAGGAGTCACAGGCTGAATTGTATGGCTATGCTGCAAGTCTGAGAGTCTTACATGTTCACAAGTTCATCTTTTCCTTTTTTTTGCAATCTTGGAAGAGCCCTTGCAGTAGCTCGGTCCAGTGGGAGTGGGTACTGGCAGAGCCGGGCCTGCTTCCACCAGCTTGCCCTAAGTCTGAGAAATAAATACATTCATCACTGCACAAACATTGATACAAAAACAACACTGTTGAGAGTGTTCGCACCATCTGTTGGTGAGGACCAGACTCAAGTCAGACCCTTCTGCTGCCCGGGGTGGGATGTGCGATGATAGAGTCTGCTGAGCTTCATAAAGCTCCCTGCTTTTTGGCTTCAGTGACCCTCACAGTAACACAAGGCCCGCGGGCAGGGCTGACATTTACCCCTTGCATCTAGCCAGGAGGCCTGGGGGGGCTGGTCAGCTTGGTGCATGCTCTTTGGTGGCAGCTGAGCTTGAAGAGGCCCCAAAAATGGGGTTTAGGGCTCAGGTGAAGCTAGGGGGGAGGGGCTTCTAGTCCTTACCCAGCACCCAGGGCTGCCTCTGCCCTTGAGCTGCTCAAGGGTCAACTCATAAGGACCCAGGAGGGAGGGAGGGAGAGTTCCCTGGGACTGGCCTTATAGCTGCTGAGGTCTGAAACTGTAAAAGTTTATGTAAACAATGAGATAAATATATTAGTATCTTTTTTTTTCTGAGCCCACTGAGGTTCCATACTCATTCAAAATGTGCTTTGGTTTAAAAAATAGGTTTGTGAATTTGGGTATGAGCTTTTTTTCTTTTGATTTTTTTTTTTTTTTTAAATCTTTTTTCCTACATGGCATCTGCTATTTCCTGTTTCCTGTTTTCTCCAAAACATTCAGTAATTAAATGACTAAAAGAGAACTGTAAGCCGCCTTGGCCTTCTATGGCCTGATTTCCTTGAGGCTCTTAACATCTCTGCACACACAAATACACACAGACACTCATAAGCATGCATGCACCCATGGAAACAAAGGAAAATGAAAACAAGCCAAGTGTCAACCCCACCCAGTCCAACAACCCTTAAAATCTTAAATAGGAAACTAGTGTTTTGCTTTCTCATTAAAATACAGAAAAGGCTTGGTACAATACTAAGGTGGGTACAATACTCTGTCGCACAGACATGCTGAGGGGCTCTGCTCCCAGTCCCTGAATTTCCGCACAACAGATGAGGCAGCCCACAGCCTGAGAGGCCACATGGGATTCCCATGATGGAGAGACTCGGTGTCCTGTGGCTTAAGTGCTGGTGGGGTGGGTGGGATGGGATAGGGTGGAGTGGGGAAGGGTGGAGAGGGAATGGGCCCAGGTCTTCACTGAGCTGTTCAGTCTGACTTGCAAGAGCAGAAAACAGATACCAGGCAAAGGGTTAAGAAGATCTGGCTCAGTACAATGAGGAAGCCAAGTGTCCTCATGCCCACACCTGCCACTCACTGGGTCCCTGCACTCAGGCTGGAGGGTCTTTGGAGGGGTGGGAACATGGGATGACTCTGGAATTTTTTGGTCTGTAGTTTAAAAAAAAAAAAAAAAAAACCAAAAGGAAAATGAAAAGCCATCAAGCAACACGATGATAAGGCCTACTGGCCCCAATCTGTGGCTCACCTGGGGCAGAACACAGACAATCTTGGTCTGTCTGGCTCTGCCCCTTGCTGGAGCCCACGCAAGCATCTAAGACTGGCTGGCACACCCATATAAGGGTTAGTTTGACCCCATATTTGCTAAGTCTGTAGGCGGAGGCCGATTTTTACCTCTATTTAACTCTGTAGTAAGTTCTTAAGACACACCTCAGAGCTCAGGAGGAGACAGGATGGGGTGGGCTCACTTCCACCTCACCCTGGCCCATGCAGGGAGCTGCCCCCTCCTCATGGCTTCTGTTACTCAGGTGCCCAGCACCTGCCCCACATACAGCATTCCCTGAGCAGTAACTATCAGAGAACACTGGGGCCCATAAGGGGCTCGGGGCCAGCCCAAGCCCAGCTTACTCCCACTATAGGAAAACAAAACCAAATGGCTCAGCCTCAACTGTACTGTGGTATTGAATTCAAGAGGTAGCAAAAGGTCAGAAGGCTCTCCACCTTGTTCAGTGAGCAAGGAAGCAAAGCGTCTGTGCATAAGCAACATACATAACACATGCACACACACACACGCACACAAACAAGAGTACTGATGGGCCTGGCACCAAGTCTAACCTCCCCTCCACCCTCTGAAACTTTAGACCTTCTAATTCCAACATCTCAAAAAATGTATGAGAGTGGGGGGTTCTCAACAAAAACGAGTGACACTCCTTGGACATTATGGGAAAGCCATGTTCTCCTGAGGAAGCCCAGACATGCAGGGCTCAGGGTCAGGGATACCTTTGGGCAAGAAAGATTTCTAGAGCCTTGGAGAGGCAGGTTCAACCATGCCCACAGCACCAGGACCAGGGAAAATGACAGGGAGGGGCAGCTGCCCCAGTTACATTCAGTCTGCAGACCCAGGCTCATTCCCAAAGAGGCAGGAGGAAATTATTGTTCATTTTGGTTTTAAAAAAGCATTTTTAAAAACTGTAAAAAGGAAATAGGAACATCTCAGTAGGAATAACAGCAATACAGGCCCAGAGGGCTCTTTAGTTGTAGAGAGGTAGGCAGTGGGGTCACCCTGACTGTCCCAGTGCCAGCTAGCAGTTGCCACCCCCAGCACAAAGAGAAAGGAACTGCCACCCAGCACCAGCTTCCCAACACCAGAGTCACACTGCACTGCAAAGACACAAGCACACATGCACACACACAGCTGAGGTCCCTGCCAGCTGAGGGCCTGCTCCAGGCACCACTCTTGGCCATGGGAAGCCTTGGCCTCCCCCAGCCCTGACTGCAGGTAAGGGACCAGGTCCCACTGACACATACATGATGGGCTTCCACCAGCTCTTCAGCAGCCCCTTCAGGAAGCTCAGGAGCCAAGTGGGATGGGGAGGTAGAATAGTCACCAGTACCACACACACAGGGCTGGCCTAGGCAGCTTTTCTCCTCTTGGCTTCCCTTGGTACACTGTTGATTAAAGCTCTAGATGTGGGGAGGCTGGGCCAGAGGAGCTGCCAGGAGCCTCGTGCCAGACTTTGGGGCTCAACCCCTCCCACCATGCTTCCTCACTCCTTCTTCCGTGGGTTCCCAAGTGGCAAGTCTGCAGAGGGCTCCCTCGGGTCTTTGGCTTCTAAGAAGGGGAGGTATGCATGCGCAGGTGGCTGATGAGGTTGCGTTGCTGGGTGAACTTGCTCCCACAGAGCTGGCACTCATAGGGCTTCTCACCTGAGTGTACACGCATGTGCTCTGTGAGGCGGTACTGGCGGGTGAAGCGCATGCCACACTCATCACAGGCAAAGGGCTTCAGGCCCAGGTGGCTTCGCATGTGGCGTGTCATAGTGCCTCGCTGTGTGAACATCTTGCCACAAATATTGCAGGGGAAGGGCCGGGTCAACCAGTGTGTCTTCTCATGTTGCCGCAGTGTGGCTGGGTCCTTGTAGGTCTTCTCACAGACTGAGCACTTAAAAGGACGAGGCTCAGCTGCATAGGCAGCACTAGGTGTTGACAGGTCCTCAGCCTCCTCCTCTGCACCCCCACTGCCAGTCTCATAAGCCCCCTCTTCCTTGATGAATAACTCCTCCTCTGTGTGCGTCTCCACATGAGCATTGAGCTGCTCAGAGCTGGGGAAGCCCTTGGCGCAAGGGATGCACACATAGAGGTTGTCCCCATATGACACCGTCTCATAGCCTTCTTGCCGGTACACATACTGGGCACCAGTGTGACCACTGCCCCCCTCGCTCCCGCTTTGCCCACTGTCCTCACTCCCGTCTTTGCCATTCTCTTCCTCCTCTTTGCAGGGGTATGCCGGCTCCCCAAATGACCCAGCAGGGCCACTTCCACCAACACTGCTGGTGAGAATGCCATTGGGAACCCTGTCCCCAAGCCCCTCGCCTTCTTCCCCTGGGCTGGGACCCTTAGCCCCTGATTCTCTCCGATCAAAGGGGGACCCGGCCACAGGCTCCTTTTTGTTCCAATCTTTTTTACGGGCTGAATGCCGGAGGCTCTTGCGAGGCTGCCCACCCTGCCCTTCCAGCAGACTCATGTGGTTTTCCTCAGCCCCTTCCAGATCCATGGGCTCATCAGGAGTGGCCCCCAGCTCAACATATGAGGCACTGTTGCCAACAGGCAGGGCAGAGGTTGAAGTGGGTGCTGGGGAATCGTGCTGGCTGTCACTCAGCTGGACCGGGTCCTCAGGAGTGAGGTGGGGGACAGGGATAGTAGTAGGAGGTAGGGGAGGACTCTTCTTGGACAGGTCCAGACCCAGCTCCTGCTCACAGCCCCCACTGCTCCCATTGGTGCTGTTGCTACAGGCCCCCAGGCCCAGGCCATGGGTACTCTCTTGGGTGGGGCTGCCCAGAAAAGGCTCATCATCTGACCCTTTGCCCTGAGGGAGCTCTTGGGGAACAGGGTGTCCTTTGCGCCCATCTACAAGCTCTGGATACCGAGCCTGGATGACAGAGGCTGTGGACAGCCGCTGACTACGGGTTGGTCGCCCCATGCCAGCAGTACCCACTCGTCCAGGGCCAAAGGGCTTGCCAGCTCGTTTTAGTTTGCGGCGGCAGAGGGCTGCCAACTCAGGCAGTTGGAGGTAGCTGGCAGCTGTGAGGAGAGTGCTGAAGTTGGGCTCAGATGGCTGGTCACTGGGCAACAGCTTTCCGGTGTAGATGAAGTCCAGTATTTGCTGGAACACAGTGGAACTGACCATGTCTGTGTCTAGGTTGATGAGGTTATCGTGCAGGACCAAGGACTTGAAGTAGATGCTGCTAGCAGCCAGGACATTCTTGTGGGCCCGGAAGATAGAGTTCTCCACCATGATGATGACATCACACAGGAAACCCTTGGTCCTCTGCTGGTTCAGCTGCAGCAGGAGCTGTTTTGAATGGCTGGGCAGCTCCATGTCTGGCCCCATGTCCCTGCGCCCTGCCCACGGGCACCACCTGTGGGCAAGAACAGGCAGGATAGTTAACCTGCGACGTACATAAAGATCTGGCACAGGGCACTATCTGAGTCCACCCGATTCCACCCACAGTGTACAGGGACAGGTCTCAATCCACGAGATTCCCTGCCATTCACTCACATGAGAAAAACAGAGTATAAAGGTGCTAAGCAGAAGATGGGTTTATAGCCTGGAGAGATGGCTTATTGGTTAAGCACTTGTTCTTTACAGCCATCTGTAATCCCAGTTCCCGGGGTTCCGACCCCTTACGGCCACAGGAGCAGACACTCCAGTGCACACATATACATGCAGGTACAACATTCACACATAAATAAAAAAATGGCCAGCAGGTGGCTACAGAAGTCAGAGACAAGTGCCCTCTGACAGATTAGGGGCCACAGGGTAAACTGGACAGTCCTGCCTAGGCATGCAAACCCACAGGACTGGTCTTCCCAGATTTCCAAATTTTTGTTGTTGTTATCAGTAACTGCCTTAATTTAAAGATGAAAAAGCAAACAACCAAAAAACTCTATGAACCAAATCAAGTTCCTTTGCTGGCCTCTGGCTGCAACCTTTGTTCTACTTTGGGCAGGCAAGGGTTCCTCATTTGCTAGCTCCTGGTCCTGACCCAGATACTGTATCCTCTCTCCCATAACTACCGGGTCCTTAACAAAGCTCTCCACTATCCAGGAGTCTGCAGACACTGGGCATTGTTCGAGCCTGTGAACCTCATGGGCTCTGTACCCTTCTAGGAAAGTTTTGCCATCTGGGGCCTGGGAAAGGCAGCTAGCTGGCCCTTCTAGACAGGATGCACAGACTCTCACTGTGGTCCTAGGTAATAAGCACACAAGCACCTCTAATCTTCAAAGGAAACTGTCAGTGGAGCAGTGTGTGCAGGTGGGGTTCCGGCATACTGTCCACCTGTATAGAGAAGCGCCTCAGCCAGGCAGGACACTCCACAGATAAAGGATAGTGCTTCAGGAGCACATAGGTGGCAAGGCTTACCAAAGGCCCCAGGAATTCAAAAGTATTCCACATAGACCACTACCCAACACCCAACACCACGCCCCCTGCACTCCAGTGCCCAGGTGACTGCCTAAGCCCACTCCAAAGCTTCCTGTGACCACATGTCATGGAGACCCAGCGCCAGCAGCATGGAGACCCACAGGAGTCTGCAGCCCCAACAGCTACACACAGATAGCTCTGCACCTCCCCACTCAGGGCCCAATTTCTTTCTTTTGTTTTCTTTTTGCTTTTATCTTTTTTCTTTTCGGACAGGGTCTCCTTCTGTAGCCCCACCTGGCCTGAAACTTGATATGAAGATCAGGCTGGCCTGAACTCACAAAAATTGACCTCCCTCTGCCTCTGGAAGCACCAGTATTAAAGGAATGTACTGTGGCCACCATGCCTGGCTTCTGGGTCCAATTTGTGAAAGTACTGAATTCCTCTGAAGCTTTCCACCCTATGTCCTGCCCTTTCCTCGAAAGACTCCCAGCCCTGCCCACCACTGGGGTGGGCCTGGTATGGCCCCCATCCCGGCCCCGCCCCGCCACTTGACACCTGCCCTTGTTCAGAGAAAGAAATCCTACTTCCCGGGTGGAAAGTTTCACAGTGCAGCGTGAATTAACACGGAATGCTACTGCTCAGCCTTACAGAAAGCACTGCCAGAGGGAGGGCTCAGCCTGCTCTTGTCCACAACAGCTGAAGGAAGTGAGTGACTGAGTAGCCAAGGTAACGAAAACCAAACTCTTCTGCCAGCTAGGTAGAAACTATGAGCCTAAGCTATGGTTTCCACATCAGGCCCGGCATCGGCCCAGGGCAATGGCCATGCCAGCGCTGCTAGCAATGTGTGCTGCCTCAGGCCTAGCAGGAGAAACAAGAAAGCTATGTGCCCAAGGCCTGGCCACAGTCAACTCACAGACACCTCACCTGCTGCCTGCTGCACTGTGCACATATAACAGACTGTAGGCCAGCACAGTCTACATTGCAAGGCTGTATGAGAGACCCAGAAAGTCCCAAAGACTAAAAACCGAGGTGATTACTCCTCTCCCAGCCAGGCCTACCGGAGTGCCAGGGGCCCAGAAACCATGTGAGCAGCAGCCGGCGGGGGATGGCCTCCTTGAGTACGCAGACTTCTCCAGGGTGCATCAAAGCCTAGTTACCTGGGAAGAAGAAGGCAGGCATCAGTGATGAGGGAGGAGAGAGGAGCATGAATGAGAGGTCACAAACAGGTCTGGGGCAAAAAGCAAGAGAAAAAAAGAATGGGGGACTTAGTACCAGGTATGAGCAGCTGGGAGGCACTACCTAACACCTAGGCACACTGTAGCTGTCCCATGCTTTTAATCCCAGAAATAGGCAGGTGTCTGTAAGTAAATTCAAGGCCAGCCTGCTCTACAAAAGAGGGTTCCAGGGCAGCCAGGGAGAAACCCAGTCTCAAAAAAGGAGAGAGGGAGAGGGAGGGAGGAAAGGGAGAAACAAAGGAAAAGAAAACAAAAAAACAAAACCCTGGAGGCCATCCTGGAAGGCTCAAGTAAGGTTGGCCATATTTACATAATAAAAGGCTGAAATGGAGCCACTTGTGGAAAAGCCATTTATAAGAGGCAATCTGTCCTTCTCTGCCAAGGAAAGGACGGCCAATCTGCCTCCTTCTCTTGGCAACAGGGTTCATCTGTCTAGAAGCTCTCAACACTTCAAAACAGCTAACAGCAGCTCCAGGTGAGGGGGTACTCCCATTGCCACCACCACTCAGGGTCCCATAGGATGAGAAATATTGAGATTCTGGGTCCCTGTTCTTTCTCCACACACAACAGCCTGGTCTCCTCAGGAAATCAGAAGGAGCCTGTAGCAGCCAGGAACCCATCTCTGGCAGCCCTTCCCCCAACACCATCCCTTGGGCCATGGGGGCAGGTCCCTCAGGAATGTGACCAGACCTGGGGTGCGGGCCTTAGGCTGCAAGGCCTCAGTTCTTGACTGCAGGCTGTCAGCTGTCTCTCCTGTCCTCAGATCAGCTCCTGTTTCTGAGTGGGCTCATTATCCCAAAGGCTGCAGAACAAAGACCCAGCTCTGGAGCTCGAGTTTAATGAGCTAGTCATCCCAGAGGACAAGGGACAGAAGAAAAGCCAACAAAACTGTCGAAATGGGTGAATGACCAGAGCCAGGAAACCCATCTTACTCTTCCAGACACCTATCAAGCAGCCTAAACCAGCTTAAACTAGCCCCTGCTAGATCTTCTGTCACAGCACTTTCCAAACCCAGAAATCAGAGCCCTCGGTAGGGACTGGGACAGCATGACTAGACAGCAAGCAGGGAGTGCCTGATGCTCAGTGGGGTTAGGCTGAGTAGATGACAAAGATCTAGCGAGGAATAATGAATGATCCTTCCTGTGTCCTCTGTGTGTGTGTGGGGGGGGGGGTGTGTAGTGTATATGCTGCCCCTACTAACTCAAGTCCTCCTCACCCCATGGGAGGGTCCCATAGCCTACAAATCATGCTCTTTTCTTCCCAATGTAAAAGTTGATGCCCAGGTTATCTATTTATCCTACCCACTGTCCTTGGAGAAGCCAGTGCCTGGGAGACTGAGGACTGAGAATATGGCTAGATAAACCAGTCAGGGAAAAGTCAGATGCAGGCTTAACCTAAAACAGGGGGCACATGCAGATAACACCCAGAAGCTCCTAACAGGTAGCAGTGTCTATTAGTGAGCCTGACCCAGGACTGTTAACCCTGAACAATGACACCTATAGCAATTTGGGACAATGGAGCAGATGACCTTGGATCCCAGGACTGACCAAAACATCCTTCAGAGGCCAAGTAAAGGGAAGTGAAAGCCAGCATGGAAAAAGCCTCTTGTCTAGGAAGTCTAGCTCCAGGTGGGCTCAGCAAGTCTGACCTTGGCAGACAAGGTCTAGCTTGCTCTACTCTAAAAACAAGTACAAGAAATAATACAATTCTGGATTACCTTCCTAGCCCCCACATTAGACATCAGCATATGGCCTGGATGATATATACCCATTTATCCTCCTCTTCCACTCCTTCCCATAACAGAAGTCAGGTAGCCTGTGAGCCCAGACAGGGGCTAGCATAGTATACAATACAGCAAATACCATAATCTCCTCCTCCAAGATTTTTTTTTAATGCATTTAATCCAGAATATCACAACCCAGTAATACTCTACACTACAGGACACCGATGATTTTACTCTTTGGTCTCAGGACCAAATAAGCAATGACCCACGGGATCAAATTTCTAATATTTCATATAGGGTTGGATATCCCAGGCTGGCTTCCAACTTGCTACTGCAGCAGGGTGACCTTCACCTGACCCTTCTGCCTCTATCTCCCAAACTGGGTTACAAGCAATATACCCGCCTCAATATTCAACACTTGAACAATTTCTACTAGCTTATAGATTTTGTGCCATACCATTTTGAGAAAAAATAAGTCAAACTACAGTCAGTATTCTCTTACATTTTAAACCAGGTGTGATCGCTCAGGCCTGTAATCTCAATATAAAACTTGGAAGGCTGAGGCACAAGAATCACATGTTCAAAACTGTCTCAAAAACAAGGGCCAGCCTGGTGCTGTGACACACTCCTTTAATCCCAGTGAGTTCAAGGCCCGCCCTTATCTACACAGTGAGTTCCAGGACAGCCAAGGCTATGTAAAGAGAACCAACTACTTGCCCTCTGACCACCCACCCACACATATACACACACATATACATACAATGAAAGTACAGACAGATAAATCCCAGTCGCTGGCTGAATAGATGTCATTCACATCAAGCTCTACCAAAGGCAAAACTGACACAAATTAGTGTAAGCTTGAATGGGCTGAGGAGCCAGAGCAATACAGACCCCTGTCGCTCCTGCCTCCTCTGATTGGAGTGCTATTGGTGTGTCTCTAGTCAGACCAAGTCCCAGCCCAGCACAATCCTGCAGAGCTTCCCTCTCTTCCCCAATACACCCACAACCTCAGTATTCATTCACCCCACTTCCTTCCCTAAATGAAGGCAGCATTCAAATAGCCAATGAAACAGATGACAGAGCCTGGCTTTCCCACCGTAACCTGCTCTTCCTGCCCTTCAGACTGGAAGGTCACTGGGGCTATGACCTACCCTGACCCTGCTGAGAAGGTTACAGTGTCTGGGGAGCCTTAAGGACTGATGAAGGAGAAGGCTTCTTTCCCCTGTACCCAACAATGGGACAGGAGAGCATTGCTATGGCCCAGCGTTTAAAGACTTCAGAATAATTTTATGATGGAAAATGACTCTTATTTAAGCAGGAAATGGAGAAAGACTCCAATCTACCCCTTCCAAAAAGTGCTGCCCCAAGTCAGCCTAGATACCCACCTTGACTAGTGCCATGGCCTCCAGAGGCTGCACTCAGTGCTGTTCTGTGCCTCCTGTAACTCCCTCTGGACACCAAGCTGGTAGCTCAGCTTGTAGGACAAGAGGACTCCAGGCCCAGACTCAGGGTGTGGTTTCAAGCCACATGATACTCCTCACCCTTCTACTCAATGCCTGATCCCCTCAGGCAGGAATGAACCCTCCTGGAGGCATCCCAGGGCACCTGGACTAGAATTCCTCTGTTTCACACCCAGCCAGGAGGCCTGGTGAAAAGGAAAAAAGCCAGGAAAGGGGGCCATCCCACCCAGCCCTCTAAGAGAACCTTTTCATCTGCCTATCCCCTGTGTGTTTCTGCAGAAGGCCTGGGGGACTGAGGGAAAGCTCCTGCCTGGCTCATCCCAAGGAGTTTTCTACCACCCATGGCCTGAGTGCCACTACCAGGAGAGAGGTAAGCTGTGAGCCCACGAGCACTGATGAACACAGACAGCATGGCCACAGGGCAGCTTACTTGAGATTTAAGCGTGTTACTACCTCTGTAACCTCAATGGGAGAGCCCTTGGTTCACTATCCATTATCTCATATTCCACATGTGTTTAACCCCAAGTCTAGACTGTATGAAAGAGACCAAGCAACTGAGAATCTAGAAGATTCCCAAAGCCTACGCTAAAGCCTAACTACGGACACAGTCACAAACTCAAGATTCCATTTAACGTCGTCCCTGTTCTGGACTCCTCCAAGAAACCCTATCCATCCTGGCCTTCCAGGACATCTGCCCAAGTGAGATAGGTTTTCTAGGGTGGGGGGCTGTATGGTGACTGAACAGGTCTGAGCAGGTCTGGTCTCAGTGAAGCCTCCCACAGGCTTATAAGGACCATTATCTCTACCTCCAGCTGCAGATAAGGTTCCTGGGAGTTAAGCAACTTGCCCACAGAAAAAGAGTACATAGGTAGCGGAGTGAGGATCTAAAACCTGACTTAGGGAGCTGTGGTCAATTTTCCTCACTCCCAGGAAGGGCCTCTAACTACAGAGCTGCTTGGGAGAACTCAGGTTCCTTCCCCTCCCACCCCTGGAGGCCTGGAAGCCGTAATGCCTTGGGTTCAAATCCAGCTTCACGAAAGCAGAATGCCCTCACCTGCCTTTTCTCATGAACTCATTGCAAGGGCACAGATCTAGCTCCTCCACCAAAGAAACAAAGTAGGGTGGCATCCAGCATGCACTAGAGAACAGGGGGCTTGTTGCCTCTCTAACAATACACCTAGCCAGATGTGGTGACCTCCCGCCCTTTAGGTTTGGGCTTGGTAGCGGGTGGGGTGGGGCTCATTGCTCTGGGCAAGCCCAGCCAAATAATTTGGCCCAGACTTCTGGCTCTCTCCCAAGCCATCCTCCTGGAAAGCAATAGACATTTTAAATGCCAAGAGCCCAGCCCTCCTGTTGCAACAGCTTCTATGAATCGCAACAGTCAGGTTCTACTAAGAACAGACACCAGGACTGGCCTCCTCCTCCTCCAACCCTAAGACCAGCTCTGTTGCACAGAGGGGAGAATGACACCCACTCCAGCCTATGGCCTTTTCCAAGTCTATCCTGAAAACATCCCAGGGCCCTATTAGAGACTTACTACCTACCTAAAGCTAAGACCTGCCTGGACCCAGACCACCTACCCAAGCATGCTGCTCCCACAACTAGGCAAGTAACCCTCAGTATAAAAAAGACCAGAGGGCTGATGCTACAAGGAAGGCCTGGAGAGAGGCACTTATGCAACACCGTATCACACCAGACCCTGTGTCCTCAAAGGCACAGCCTCATCTGTTGATCCCCCT